TAAATGTGAAATTGAACCTCCTATTTCATTATTTTATTTTGATAAAGTTGTCCAGGGACATGGTAAATACCATACACAAGGGTTACACAGTGTAAAACAATCTCTTTTCCACACCCAAGTGGGGTTTCCTCCCCTGAGACCACCAACCACTCATTTATTATTTATTTATTTATTTATTATTTATTTGTTATTTATTTATTTATTTTATTTTTTTTTGAAATATATTTTTATTGACTTCAGAGAGAGAAAGGGAGAGGAAGAGAGAGATAGAAACATCAGTGATGAGAGAGATTCACTGATCAGCTGCCTCCTGCACGCCCCCCCGAGGATTGAGCCCGCAACCCAGGCATATGCCCTAACCTGGAATCGAACCGTGATCTACTGGATCCTAGTTTGATGCTCAACCGCTTAGCACACTGGCTGAGCAACCATCAGCCCCCATTTAGAGTTCTATCGCATCTTCATGTCCATCCAGGAATATTCTAGGCTTAGGCAGAGAGACACATATATTACATTTTTTGGGGGGTGGGTGGGGTGGGTATGTGTATTATAGTCTGTTAATGGTGCTAGACGTGTTGCTTTTTCGAACCTGGTTCAGAAGCTTGGAGATCGCCAGACGTCAGTCCATGTAGAGGTGCCTCGTTTCTCAATGCTGCAGAATAGTCCACTGTGTGGCTGGAGTGTATTATTAGACCAGCCTTTATTCGTGGGCATTGAAATCGTTCCCAGACTTAGGTATAGTATAGCACACAGCGCTGAGGTGGAGTCATCTTGTTTGTGCTTTGTCCCTCAGTGACTGTGTCTATAGACCTGTTTTTAGGAGGAGATCATTGGGTCAAAGACTTTGTGAGAGTTTTGATGGTGGAGTGGGTGCGGATTCCTGCGAGAATGAGAAGTTTTCTCTGGGGAATGTGCCAATCCCTGGCTGCACCTTTTGAGTGAGTTTTCTCATTAACTAGCTGCTGTGTGCCTCTGGGTCAGCCATTTGGGCTCCCCAGGCCTCCGTTTTGATGTCCATGGGATGATCCCCTAAACTCTGGGTTCTGTTCTCCCTCAAGGTGTCTGTGGTTAGCATTTAATTTCCTCTCAGGGCTGTGTCTCAGCGAGAGACCCTGAACATTGGTTCAGGATTTTCCTGAAGCCTGCCTGGTGAGACTGGAGAGTTCCATGGCGGGAACTGGATTTTGTCACAGCAGTTCATTGTCTTGCTTTGTGAGCCTGCCCCAAGATGCTCCACCTTCAGAACAAAGTAAATCATTGAGAGCCTGTGGCCGTATTGGACCCTGGTAATCTGCCCCCTAAGACTCCTGTTCAGATACGGAGGATGGTGGCACACGGTGCAGCCTGCATGCTGGGACTTGCCTAATAGTTAAAACTGGAGGAGGAACGTTGTCAGGCTGTCTTTGGGGATAACTATCTTTCTGGATTCCACATCCCATTCCATCCCGTCACCTGTACTCTTCCGCATAGCTCTTTCCTCTTCTGGTGCCTGTAGCCTTCATTTCTCAGCATGTGAGGTGTGCCAGGCCGTGCCATTATATCATCCCTAAGCTAACAAGACAGCTCTCGGGCATGGAATGGATTCACAGTCTTGCAGGTGAAGATTGGATGGTGGTGGAAGTATATCTGTGTTTAAATGAATTTCTGGGAGAATTAAAATAGAAAAGAGTGGATTGACAAAGGTGAGGTTGGCATTTTACAGATGAGACTCAGTGAGAAGGTAATTTGTGTTGATCTCTTTGGAGGAGAGTTGCAAACATAATGCCCACCAGTGGCTGAGCCATGAGGATTTCTGGTGGTGGCTTATATTTTTTTGCATAGTTGCGCGACGTTCGCCTGATAAACATGAATAAATGTTGTTGTCTTCCACAAAGGGCTATGTTTGCCTTTGTTTTCTTAAATGTGTGGCCTTCCTGGTCTATCTTTCACGGTTTCCTGCTTTTGCCATCAGGAACACATGTGGTGAAGAAATATTTCTTTGGGCTAAGGACGATACTGGTGCCTGTGTGACAACTCATGGTAGCTGGGTCATAGCCTCGTCAGCAGAGAACAGTAGGGAAGGGTAGAAACTGTGGCAAAATGGAGGGCACATTTTCATGTAAAAATGGCTGGCCAGTATTCAGATCTACTTGTTGCCATAAGGCCCTCAAAGACCCTGATCTGTTGTTTTTTTTAAGAGAAGCCAAAAATCTAGGTTATTTTGTGAAGTCTCCCAATTTTTATATTTTGGTAGCAAGTTAAATTAAACAAAAAGTTATATAGATCAAAGAAAGACCACCTGACCCCTGAGATAGGTAACAGAAAGGGGGGCCGGTGGGTGTATTCTAACAGGAGGAACACTAAAACGAAATGGGTTGTATCCTATCCTCCCCCCTCAAGGGGCCTAGGCCTCCCTGACTGCTTTAAAATGTGTGGTCCTGTGTGTCTCTTTCAGATCCTGGCTCCACAGAGAGAACAGCCCAGAAAAGAAAGTTCCCCAGCCCTCCACATTCTTCCAATGGACACTCGCCACAGGACACATCAACAAGCCCCATTAAAAAGAAAAAGAAACCTGGCTTACTGAACAGTAACAATAAGGAGCAGGTAAAGGGCCACCGGGAATGTGTCCGCACCAGTGGGACAAAGGCTGTAGTGAGAAGTACTACAGCTCTCGGGGGTTTATTTAATGCCGGTGTTCTTGGCATTTAACAAGCTGCCTGACTCTGGCTGTCATTGGCATAGGACAGAAAAGGGCAGCTTAAAATGGGCCTGTGTTGAAATTTCTGGCAGGTTTTCAGATCTGTTTTGGAGACAGGGCAGTGACCCAGATGAGATGAAGACACTGTGCTTTAGGGTTTGGGCTTTTCCTTGGGTTTCTGTTTCACACTTTAGGACTGTTTCCCCCATGTGGCCAGAGGATATTTCCTTCTGGGCCAGACAGCAGGATGGTTCTCACCTCTGCCTGGAGGTATTTGTATGCCTGAGGCATGCTCCCTTCTGGTATCATTTTTCTCATCTGTAAAATAATGGGCTTAGGTCTGTGGTGAGAGACAGCTGCTCTCCCCACTCATTGCTCACTGTAGACTTTGGTAATTAGTCACCATTCTTTTTCACTGTGCATAGACCTTGGCTGCAGACTCCATCTTCCCTGGGCAGCGGGAGCCAACCAACTAGATAGGAACATCTATTCACTATCTCGGATCACGCTAAAGAAACTTAGCTTTAAAGTTCTCTGATGCAGGTTAAATATATTTTCAATTAAAAAAAAAAAAGAGGTGCTTTAGTGGACCATGAGGCCAAATCCTGGCCCCGGATGAGACAGGGTGACCTGTGGTTCTGGTACCACTTAAGCAAGGAATCCTTGGATATGTTCATGCATTTCTTGCGTTACGAGTGCCCAAGTGGGCTCTGGGGATTTGAGGTTGAAGGAAACAAGATTATTGCTTTCACAGGAAGAGACCTAGCAGCGGTTAAATGCCCAGAAGTATGAGAGGGTATGTTGCTGCACACTAATCTATTTTCATTCTCAAATTATATAGTGAAATGCCAGCTCTGCTTTTGCTCTTTGGCTGTGGGCGAGTTAACCTCTTGGTGCCTCTTTTTCCTATCTACTGAAATGGGGATAATGACACTCCTACTATTGATTTCCTAAGGTTGTTACGATGAATTGAGCCAAGTGACATAAATAATAAAAATAAAAATTAAGCGAGGCTCTACACTAAGTGGACTAAGCACACAAACTACATATGAAATAATTCAACAACAGCTCTAGAAATGTCCTAGACCTGTGCTGTTCAGTATGATAGTCACAAGCCACATGTGGCCATTACGCATTTGCAAATGGCAAATGTGACCAAGGAACTGAATTTCTAATTTAAATTTATGTGGCAGTCTGTGGCTTGTAGCTGCCATGTTGGACAGTACAGGTCTAATCCTGTTAGAGGAGAGAAACTGGTGGGTCAGAAATAAATTTTGGGGGGGAATGCAATGTGAAAGACATACATAATAGTGTTGGTAATAATCTAAAAGTAGTGCTTACATTGTGCTATATGTCCTGTTGTAAGCACTTTCCTGGATTAATCTTTAAAATTTTTTTTCTTGTACTGAGCTATAATTGACATGGGACATTATATTAGTTTCAGATTTTTCCCCTTTGCCCCATTTTCAGGTGCCTATGTTAATGTTTATGATGACCCTTTGAGTAAGGGCTGTAATCATCTCCATTTTATAGATGAAAACACAGGTTCAGAATGGTTAAGTTACCTCCTTGAGGTCTCAGAGCGAGTAAGAACCTGCTTTTGAGCTTAGGTCTGCCTGTTGATATTAAAGACTAAGAGAGAAACATGAAGGCCACAGATAATCCCCAAACCTTAACTTAGCCAGTCGTTAACTTCCTGGGTAACACTTTCTCACCAGCTACCCAATCTGTGTCCCCCTCTGGAACTGTCGGCCTCAGAAAAGTGTCTGATGGTTGCTGTCTCCCCAGAGTTTGACCCAGGGTGGGAATTTATGAACAAAGAATGTGCTCAAGATGTGGAAAATAGCAAAGCATGGGTGACGAGACATGGTGTGCGATTATGCTCCTGAGTAATCTGTCATCTTCAGTCCTGGTAGAAGAGCTTATAGGATCGAGGCTCTGGAGGGAAAGTGTTGCAGACCAGGGGACTGGGCTCTTTTTGCCCCACTGCATCTGGGGAACTGGCTGTGTGACCTTGGTATTGTTTTTTTATCTCTGAGCTTCAGTTAACGTTGTAAATAAGGGTTTAGACTGGGGACATTATTAGGTTGCTTGTAGGTTTGTTTTTTAGATCTAAAACTCCCTGGGGCTGAACAGCCAGGAGGTAGCAAAAGAGAAATTAAATTAGCCTTAGCTGTAAAGAGAAGAAATGGCTAACCCTTGACTCTATAATTCATTGTAGCATATAAAGTTTGCATGGTAGGGGCAATCTCTCTCATGCAGAGCCTGCTTTCCTAAGAGGAACTTAAATCCTTTGTAAAAAAAATTCTTCTGGACAACCCTCCCTTTCTTGGCCTCTTTCTTTCTTTTAGAATTTTGGAATTAAAACCAAATCATAAGCTGCAAATGCTGTGATTGACCAACATAATATAATTCCTGTTAGTCACCAACATTTGAAAATGGTGAGATTTCAGGTAACAACTTATATTTCTAGGTTCCTATAAAACTCAGAATTCTAGCAACAGCTGGAACTGAGTAGATCTTGCCCCTTTAGACGCAGGACCTGTGTGCTCCGGTTTGCAGCACTCCCCACCCCCTCCCTATGGTGTTATACCCCACCTGCTTTGCTTGTTCTTTCTGCCTCAGGCTCTCTTAGGTGTTTGAGTTCTTTGCATATATCAAGGTTCTCCACCTCCTTCCTTTTTTTCTTCACTCTAATTTCTCTTCTGTATTCCAGTGTTCTAAAAAGAAAGCCATTCTGGCCTTAAAAAAACTAAAAAAACTCCACATTTTTCCAATTTTGGTAGTGACTTTTTATTACCAAGTGGAGATGTGGGTTGAGTTTTCAGGTTGGGAGCCTGTTTCACCCATTTTTCATATATTGGGGATTTGATAATTTTAGGGGAGTTTCAAGAAGAGCTTTTAAACATGCTTTATTTTTAGGGGAAAAAGTATTCTAAGGCTTAAAATTAATTTTTAATGCCTCTTGGTTCAATGTTTTTATCCCTTAGGAAAGGTGAAAACATGTAGGTGCTTTTTCTTGGGATTGCCAGAGGGAACATCCCAAAGCCTGGAAGGGTGCTCTTGGCATTTTGTGGAGGAGGGTCAGGTTGCCAAACATCTTGCAGTAGATAGGACAAGAAATACCTTGTCCCCAAGTGACATTAGGGCCCTGATTGCAAAATACCACTCTTACCTTTAGTTATTGGGTCATTTGAGTTTGAAGAGTCCTGTTGGAAGAACCAACCCTTCCTTCCTTCCTTCCTCCCTCCCTCCTTCCTTCCCTCCCTCCCTCCCTCCATGAAAGGATTGAGAAATAACTGCTAACAGACTTGTACCAAATGGCCTTAGATATACTTTGATCAAATATGGCAGAGAAATCCTGGGTTCCCTCTTCATGTCTGAGTGCAGGGTATATACATATCATAAATGGATGGGCTAGGACTTATTTTGTTGGGTCCATGCATTGTCTTAAAAACTTGGATGTTTCACAGAAATCCTTTGTTGGGCAGGGACAGTGTATGAGCAGTTGAGCCAGTTCAGGGGACAGCAGGATTGCTGGCATTGTCCTGAGATCAGGCAGCACTGTGGTATGTGCCAGCCTAGCTGCCTTGGCCCTGGAGCTGAGTGGAAGTGCGCCCCTGTGGTGGGCGTGAGCTCTGCCCCTGCTGCTGTCTCCTCCAGGGTGAATGCTAGGGCCATTCCTCATACTCCAAGGCCAGGTAGTTTGTCTTATTTTGCAAGACCCATGCTTTTATCCAGTGCGGGAGAACAAAAGCTGGAGAAGGGGACTATATTTATTTAATTTATGTGATCTATGTCTCCCCTGTAGGAATTTGAATTTGTGGGTCCCCCTCCCCCCGACATGTACCCTGTGCTTACACAGCAGCCAGAGTACCCATTCTCTAGCTTAGGCAGACCAGGTGTCACAAACTATACTTGTTACATGATAGTCTAGGTGCAAACTCTAGTTATTACTATACTCTGAGCCTGTTTCTGTAAATAAAGTTTTATTGGCCTACAGCCACATTCATTCATTTACATACTGTAAAAAGTTTGCCAGCTCCTGGGGCAGACTAAGGTATTCCAGAAACGAATGAACAAGCCTGTCTATTTTCTTGTTAAGCTTACCTGTGGGAGAAGCAGGGAAATAAGAACGTTGCTCACAGAGCCTGCAATTATCCTGTAATAACACAGGTTGCAACCTGTTTGCCTTACCAGCAGGCTGGTAACACACCTTATACTTGTGGGGGTGAACCTGAAATGATTTGCTTTTCCTGTTTTAAATGTTCTATATTGGTTATCAGATGATTTTGATGGAGCAGGAAACATTTACAAGCAGCAGATAAGGCAGGTATCTGATTGACAAGGAGATTACCAGGGAGCTAGGCCTCAGCAACAACGTCACTGCTCCAGGAAAGGACAGAATCTCCTGAAAAGAGCTTGGAGCAGCCTGACACTCAACTCCTCATGATCCTCCGAGGATCACCTGCTCCCCAGCCAGGTGTGGGGCAGGGGCAAGGACATGGGGAAACCTAACTTCCTAAGTGGCAGTCCTCTGGCTCCTATGAGATAGAAAGGACTTGGGTTACCCCTTAGGAAGATTAGCTGTCATATTAGAATTTTCTTGTTTTCTTTCGATCTTAGTGATTCCGATTCTTTCTGTCCTATTAACTTACTGGATGGAAGTCAGGCACTGGACTATAGCTTACTGCTGTCTTGCAAAAGCCACGAAAGCATCTTAGATGACCCTACTCAGGTTAGAGATAGTTTCTGCTTGCTTGATGTGTATAGTTTATCTTTCTTTTTTAAAATATATATTTATTGATTTCAGAGAGAGGAAAGGAGAGGGAGAGAGAAACATCAATGATGAGAGTCATTGATTGGCTGCCTCCTGCATGCCCCCTGCTGGGGATCGAGCCCACAACCTGGGCATGTGCCCTGACCGGGAATCAAACCCTGGTTGCCATTCCTGCTGGGCATGTAAAGGATATGATTTTCTAACCACTATGGTGTACACCTGAAACTAACACGAAATAGCGTGACCGGGCGTGGCTCAGTGGTTGAGCGTCAACCTAGGATCCAGGCGATCGGGGTTCGATTCCCGGTCAGGGCACATGTCCGGGTTGCGGGCTCGATCCCCAGCAGGTGGCGTGCAGGAGGCAGCCAATCAATGACTCATCATTGGTGTTTCTCTCTCCCTCTCCTTTCCTCTCTCTGAAATCAATAAAGATATATTTNTCACAGAGCCTGCAATTATCCTGTAATAACACAGGTTGCAACCTGTTTGCCTTACCAGCAGGCTGGTAACACACCTTATACTTGTGGGGGTGAACCTGAAATGATTTGCTTTTCCTGTTTTAAATGTTCTATATTGGTTATCAGATGATTTTGATGGAGCAGGAAACATTTACAAGCAGCAGATAAGGCAGGTATCTGATTGACAAGGAGATTACCAGGGAGCTAGGCCTCAGCAACAACGTCACTGCTCCAGGAAAGGACAGAATCTCCTGAAAAGAGCTTGGAGCAGCCTGACACTCAACTCCTCATGATCCTCCGAGGATCACCTGCTCCCCAGCCAGGTGTGGGGCAGGGGCAAGGACATGGGGAAACCTAACTTCCTAAGTGGCAGTCCTCTGGCTCCTATGAGATAGAAAGGACTTGGGTTACCCCTTAGGAAGATTAGCTGTCATATTAGAATTTTCTTGTTTTCTTTCGATCTTAGTGATTCCGATTCTTTCTGTCCTATTAACTTACTGGATGGAAGTCAGGCACTGGACTATAGCTTACTGCTGTCTTGCAAAAGCCACGAAAGCATCTTAGATGACCCTACTCAGGTTAGAGATAGTTTCTGCTTGCTTGATGTGTATAGTTTATCTTTCTTTTTTAAAATATATATTTATTGATTTCAGAGAGAGGAAAGGAGAGGGAGAGAGAAACATCAATGATGAGAGTCATTGATTGGCTGCCTCCTGCATGCCCCCTGCTGGGGATCGAGCCCACAACCTGGGCATGTGCCCTGACCGGGAATCAAACCCTGGTTGCCATTCCTGCTGGGCATGTAAAGGATATGATTTTCTAACCACTATGGTGTACACCTGAAACTAACACGAAATAGCGTGACCGGGCGTGGCTCAGTGGTTGAGCGTCAACCTAGGATCCAGGCGATCGGGGTTCGATTCCCGGTCAGGGCACATGTCCGGGTTGCGGGCTCGATCCCCAGCAGGTGGCGTGCAGGAGGCAGCCAATCAATGACTCATCATTGGTGTTTCTCTCTCCCTCTCCTTTCCTCTCTCTGAAATCAATAAAGATATATTTAAAAATAAAGAAAATCATATACTTTACAGAGTGATCCCCAATATTTCAAGTACCCATCTGGCACCATATATATATTGACTGTATTCCCTATGCTTTATTTTATATCCCTGTGACTATATATATACACATACATATATATTAATTTTTTTTATCCTCACCTGAGGATATTTCTCCATTGCTTTTCAGAGAGAGTGGAAGAGAGAGAGAGAAACAGAGAGAGAGAAACAGAAACATTGATGTGAGAGAGACACATAGATTATTTGCCTCCTGCACTTGCGCGACTGGGGCTGAGCCTGCAGCCAAAGTATGTGCCCTCGGCTGGAATGGAACCTGGGACCCTTTAGTCTGTGGGCTGATGCTCTAACCACTGAGCCAAACCAGCTAGGGTGCCATGACTGTAGTTTTTAAAAATATGTTTTTATTGTTTTAGAGAGAGAGGAAGGGAGAGGGAAAGAGAGAGAGAGAGAGAGAAATATCGATTAGTTCCATATGTACCCTAACCCCGACTGGGGATCAGATCCACAACCTGGACATGTGCCCTGACTGGGAATTGAACTGGTGACCTTTTGGTCCACAGACGATGTTCAGCTGAGCCACACCAGCCAGGGCCCCATGACTATCTTGTAACTCCCGATTTGTACTTATAAATCTCTTCATTTTTTCCATCCAGTTCTTCCAGATAAGTCTTTTTAACCTGGCTTTCTCACCTGTCAAGTAAGACCAGTAGTGTCTACCCTGTGTACCCCTCTGGGTGGTTGTGGGGATAACATGAAGATGGTGTGCGTGATAGTATGTTGAAAAACATAACATGGGAAGAATATTGTAGCAATGATGTTAATTTCTGGAAACCAAGTGAATGGTCTATCTCAAATGTTGAAGTGAAACAGGGACATAACTGGGCTCAAGAATTACATATTCCCTGGAGTTAGGTTTTAGAGCTCTAGCTTACCTGTGTCTCTGAGCTTGATGCCATTTTCTTAAACTAGTAAGTCTCTACTTTCTTTGCTGCAAACTTCTGTTTGTGTTTTATTGGGCTTTGGTGCATGCAGGCAAATGGATGCCATTAGCCCGGTAACAATTTTGGTGCCAAACTTGGGGCTATTTTGCCTGTGGATTTGGTGACCCCAGCTTGGGGCTTGCCACTAGGCCCCTGCCAGCAGCTGCCCAGACCTATTATTGGCGGAGGCTCAATGGCAGTCCATAACCGGGCGCCCCCAACCTATGGTGCTTTTGTTTGCAGCATAAGAAATGAGGAATTTAAAAGGCCTAGATTTGGAATTTGCCCTGGTTTTGGAAATGGAAGATGTCTTATGCCTCAGACCCATGAAAGTGGACAAATACCACCTACCACACTATCATTAAACTAGAGAGAAAAACTCCATGGTTGACATGAGGACCTGATACAATGATTAACCAATCAGTGTAGCCCCTGATTTTTATTTTCTGGTCAATGGATTTTATTAATTTTGTTAAGTGAACAGTAGCCACGTAAGATTTATTAAACCAGTAATGAAAACATGTTACTGTTTTGTCAATAGACAAACAGACCAAAAAAAAGGTCAGACACTACCTCAAATACATATGGGAATTTAGGGAGCCAGTTTAATCAGAGCAGGTAAAGATAGATTTTCTACCTTGTTGGACCTTTAAGTTTTTATCATTTCACTAAATTTTTGATTCTTTTTTTAAAAATTACCATGATTAATAATTTTTCCTGTTTATAATCTATCCCCATGTGGGCCATCAGGGAACCAGGTTTTAGAGTACTAGCTTACCTGTCCCCAGGTTTGGTGCCATTACCTTAAAGTAATAAACCTCTACTTTCCTTGTCTCTCTCCGCCCCCACCTCCCAATGCAATCACTCAATAAACTATTAGAACTGTTTATATATAGGGACAATTAAAAAATCTACCCGCATTTCTATGTACCACCAATAACTATTTGGAAAATATAATAGAAAAAGATGCCATTGACAGTATCAACAAAAATTATGTAGTCTCTAACCAGTATATGAGATCTTTATGGAGGAAACTGTAATATTTTACTGAAGGACAGGGAAAAAGCTTGTTATACAAGGAAGTTTATTCAGAGGTGGTTGTGGCTAAGCTATTATCCACAAAATCGAGGTTCAACGTGGGTTGAGTAGCCTTAAGGTCGCACAGTGAGTTACTCCAGGTCATTTTGATGCTTACCTCCAGACTTTCTCATCCTTCCTAAGCAGGATTTCTTACTGGTTTCCGGTACACATTTTGCTAATGAATTTCATCTGAGTGATTTTATGTGCGTGGAGTGCGACTTTGCTGGATTCTATATCATTAGGGAAATAATTGCTCTTGATAGTTTGGGATAAGAAGGGGTCTGGCTCCTGTGAATTGGCCACCCATCTCATCTTTCTACCATTATTGGTTCTAAGTAGGTGATGTAGCTCCTGGTAGATGAGGACCTACCATGTTTAAGAACCGTGGCTTTAGGAAGCCTCTTGTTGGGTCAGAGTACTTCATGCATTCAGGAAAGACTTAAAAAACAGGTGATCATTTTTTGGTGACTCAAATCCAATTGATCTATTCTCCAAAAGCCTGATGTTGAAAGAATCCCAGGGCAAACTGACGTTATTTGTTGGCTTTGAACATTTAGACTTCCATATATTGGGCTCTTAACTATATCAGCAATATTAGTAATGGCAGCACAGTGTTAAATGCATATATTGCACCATCCCATTTAATCCCAACCACAGTACCATGAAGTTCAGTATTATCATGCCCATTTATTTTACAGATGAGAAAATTGAAGCTGAGAGGTTAAGAGACCTGCCAAGGGTCATGTAGCTGGTAGAGCTAAAATTTGAACTCAGGTATGCCTGAGTTGTGTAGCCATTAGGCTATCCTGCCATAGGACTGCCTATTGAGTCTTGGACATCAGCTTTTCAATCTATGTCCTCTTAAAATAGAAGCAAGAAAAAAGTCTTAATATGTAATGATCTGTAAACCCTGTATGTAGTAGAGTAACCCAAGATAGCTTTTTAATGAATGTATGAAATGCTGTAATTGTCTTTTGTTGTTATTGATGTATTTGTTCAAATTCCTTTTGAGAATGCACATTTGTTTTGAAACCAAACCTGTCTTTCTTGCCTACATTTCAGTCAGAACTAAGACATGGTCCGTTTTACTATATGAAGCAGCCACTCACCACAGACCCTGTTGATGTTGTACCGCAGGATGGACGAAATGATTTCTACTGCTGGGTTTGTCACCGGGAAGGCCAAGTCCTTTGCTGTGAGCTCTGTCCCCGGGTTTATCACGCTAAGTGTCTGAGACTGACATCGGAACCAGAGGGGGACTGGTTTTGTCCTGAATGTGAGGTCAGTTCTGATGAATGAATGCATTATCTGCCTCGTTTCTTCTCCTTTCTCTTCCTCCCTTTTATTTTTAACTCTTCAAATCATCCAGATTCAGGGAAAAAAGAAATTTCTTGCCTTCCACCTGCTCTATTCTGGTCATCTCCTTTTTGGACCAACGTTGGCAGTGTGGCCTCTTGGGAAGACATTTTCACTGAGTATTTTTGATTCTTCGTGGGTCTTTGGATCACTTTGAGATCTGCAACCTTCTCTGATCCTTTGGTAATGAACATTTCAGAAGTTAACTGATGAATCTTCACATATTTTGAAAAGATTTCATGCTATTTTTCCCCTTCTTGGATGTTGTCTTCCTGCTCCATCATTGAATCATCGGCAGTAGCCACTTTAGGAAGACCAGTTTTGGTTGTATGTTCCATGTGGTTGCCATCTGATGCTTCCATTCAGACCACACCTACTTGTGCACTTCTTAGGTGCTAGGGAATTGGCAGTAAACAAAAAGAGGCATGAGTCACATTCTTTTCAGGAAGAAAGGCCAAAAACCAGGCTAGTGAAAGCTATATACAGTATGTTAGAGGAGGAGTGTTCTGGAAAAAATGAATTGAAGATGACAAATAGGGAGCAAGGAGGGTGCAGGGTGTTCCCATTTTAAACAAAGAGGTCCAGGAAGCCTTACTAAAATTTGAGAAAGACTTGAAGAAGAGGAGGAGTGAGTCATGCAGCCGGGGGGATGACCCTCTAGGCAGAGGGGACAGCAAGTTCAAGACCCCAGGCAGAAGCACACTGGCATAGTAAAGGGAATGTTATATTTCATTTGTAGCAAAGTCTATGAACACTCCTCATTAAAGCAATTATTGCGGTTTCCATTATCTGGCGACTTCCAAATATGATGCTTTTTCAAAATGCTGAAAGTAAGAATGTCCTCTACAAAATAATTTACTATGGGATGTCACCTGCATTCAAAGTATGTTGGAGTGAGATATCAAATGAGGGAAGCTTTCTATGTGTCAAATGGAAAGTTCTCCCAGATGTCATTAGTGGGGGGGGGAAGCAAGCTATATATAGGACAGTGTCTATGGTACCATTTTTGTATAAGAAAAGGAGAAAAATAAGAAATAAAAGAAAAGAAATTAGACATTCAGCCGATAGGATGATGACGTCTTAATGACGTCCTGCCCCTAAAACTGTAAAAGATGGCCTTTGATTCTCTGCGGGTTACTCTAGATGGAGAGATGTGTAGGACGTGTTTGCTTAGCTACGCCCTCCTGTTCAGAGCCTCAGCTCATTCTTCTACGTTTAGTGTGGGAATTGGAGCCTTCACCTATTTCTTTTTGTCTTGGCCAACCCTTCCCTTCCTTAAAATTATTGTTTAATAATTTTGCAAAAAAGGTAGTGGTTCAGAGAGGATACTTTTGCTGCAAATAATAGGTCTTGGTAAAAGGTGACTGAAACAATAGGGTTTTGTTAGCATGGGTAGGAAAAACCCAGAGGCAGGGCCAGGCAAGAGCTTGTTCAGAGCCAGACTTTCCATTCCATCGCTGAGGCCATGTTGTCCCCATGTGGCCCTATGATGGCGACTGGGGATTTTATCACAGTAGCTAGACAAAAATCCCCTAATAGGGGTGTCTCTCTTCACATCCCTTTTTATCAAACAGAAGGACTTTGCCCATCAGCCTCCAACTGACTGATTTGCCCTTGGGTTCATTGGTCAGGTCTGGATCATTAGTCCTTAATCAAAGAAGGCTTGAAAAATGCGTGTCCAGCACTTTTTAGTCTATATTGTGGGAACCAGGCACTGCCAGCCAGGAGGAAGGGATTGGAGATGTGGGGCAGAGAAGGCGAATGACAGTTGAATGACATGCAGCCCAAGTGTTTGCCATGGATAAGTTACCTGGAAACGAACAGGAATTCAGGCAAACAGGCGTGCTATGTCTAAGATTTCAAGCCCCAGTGTTCTTACGGGGTGACTTGGTAGGGCGCTCAGCTGAGAAGACGAGCTCTGTCAGGCTCTGGTAGCCAAGCAATTAGATACTTGCGTCATGTACTGTTTTCGGCTTCAGAATGACTCTGTGTTGCCCATTTTCCTCGACAACCAGACACATCTGAAAGTTCCTTTTGGAGGATCCAGAGATAGGAAGAGTGGAAATGAAATCCAAATTAATTGGAGAAAACTTTTCTCAGCTCTCTCCCCACAGATGGCTCAAGAATGTTCCCTGCCATCATCAGACTTCGCTATTTTTGTTGTTGTTGCTGCATAAGGATTCTGAAGCGCTGACATATAGCACCAGATTTACGTAGCAGAATCCGAGTCTCTTCTTGGATGGGAGTTTCCCTTACAAAGTGACATTTATTGCCCATGGAGATAAGACAGCTAGGCTGTGCTCCTCGCGCAGTTGTCCTGAGTGGGTTCACATCAGTGGTGACAGAGAATTAAGTCATATTTATTATTAGTTCACCACCATCCCTTGGATTCTTCCTATCTTGAAGACGGTCCCTTTCCATCAGTGATGTCGCTGAGTAAATGCCTTGCCAGTTTCCTGAAAGATAGCCCAGAACCTTAAGAAGATCAAGATAAGTGGCTGATTCATTGTATGAAGAGATCACCCTGAAAGCATCAGTGGCCTTTCCTCTCATCCCATTCTTGAAATTCAAGATTGTAATAATGACTATTTTCAGGGCCCTGCTCAGTGGCATCTTTCTTAGATTTTATCATCTTCATGAGCATAAAACACTTCTAATAAAGTAATCAATGGATTGGTGTGCTTCTAACTTTTATCCACTGATCCAGTAAACGGATAAGTAGATTGGAGTCCTTGTCAAGCGAAATGACTGGTCTCACTTGGAAATTATCATTTTTTATGTGTGAGCTTAATGGAAAATTAGGAGAAAAGGGAAATCAGTTTACGGATAGTAACTTTTTCTAACTGGCCATCTGTGTGATTTTGACTTATAGAAGATTACAGTAGCAGAATGCATCGAGACCCAGAGTAAAGCCATGACAATGCTCACCATCGAACAGTTGTCCTACCTGCTCAAGTTTGCCATTCAGAAAATGAAACAGCCAGGGGTAAGAAGAAAGTTCCTCTTGGTATAAAGTATAAATGGAAGTAGTGACTTTTGTTCTGTTAACCTCTTATTCCAGGTAGCTTTAGCTTTTCAGACACCTGTGCATGCTGGTTAGGCCTTCTTATGTGCCGAATTCCAACATCTGTAAATGAAACGTAAGTTACGACAGCATTCAGTTCTCTATAGTGTGTACTGTGTGTCCTCAAGGACTTTAGTTGGGAAATGATGGGGATTTAAAATTCTGATTGGTTATCTAGTGAAACCACCCTCATATCCCATCAGGTAAGGGGAAGTTGACTCCTTCCCTTGTGAGTTAGTAAAATTCCATTGCAATGATTGCTGAGTACAACCCAGTTTATTTATAAACAAGGTCTGACCATGGAACCTTCCAGTAAAACTCAACCAGTGAGCTTTCTCATAAAGGGTGAGAATTTGATTGGTTCCTTCAATGTTGAAATGGGATTTGAGGTACAGCCTGTTCCCCTTAAGGAAAATATTATTATTTTAATTTATTGATGAGAGAGATCAATTTATTGTTCCACTTACTTATGCACTCATCGGTTGATTCTTGTTATGTGTCCTGACTGGGGATCGAACCTACAACCATGGTGTATTGGGATGGCATTCTCACCAACTGAGCTACCCAGCCTGGGCAAAGAAAATCTGTATGTGAAAACAGGGCTGCCACATTCTGCTGGCAAATTGTGTCCTTCCCGTGGTTTCCCTCCTGAGTGCCAGTCTGATCGTAGCCATGGTGGTTTTAGTTTTTGTGTGACAGTTTTCAGGAAGATGGCAGTAAAATGCTTTGCTTCTAAAAATAATCCATATGTTATGCCAATATAATCTATATATTATGACATTTTTTTCCTTTAGAAACTTGAGGCTGGAGTTCTCTTTTTCTGATTTGCACAAAGGCACTATATGGACCAGTAGTGATCCTTTGTAACTCTTTAGAGTTTGCTTTTTCTAAGTCAGATGCATCTATAGAAATGTAGAATCTCAGGGTATTTAGTAGCCCCTGTGGTTTGATTCTTTATAAAAGGAAGCTTTAGTTTTGAGATTATATAGTGGGATTTGGTATCATGATGAAAAAGATTGAGAGCATGCCAGTTGGGTATTGCTAAATTGGGAACCTATTTCTTTTTAATAAAATGCCCGTCAGTGGAAGCAAAAGCATAGCCTCAGTTTGGTTAAAACGACAAACTTTTAAAACTATGGAGTTTTCTATTTTGAGTGACAGAGAATTACTTCCTGCTTTTTGTAGGCTGAATCATATCTGCTGAGGACTGTTTACAAAGAGAATAGACTCATGTAGACTTGTCAACACTGTAGAATTATAAACCAAAAGGAAAAATCAGAGACGACGTTAATTTCTCACATAAATTCTTTGATATAAAATCAATCAGCGTAGAAAGTCGCTGATTTTGTGGTAGCATCTCTGAAACTTACAATGGCCACTCATTCATTCTGGGTAAAATGGCTTGGCTGACTGTAAATGGTAACCCATTCAGATGCCTTGCTTGAGTATAATTTGGTGTTTAATTAAATCTTTTAGATTTTTTTTATTGATAAGTAAATACCACCTATCAATAAACCAGGCTTACGTTTTCAGCTGATTCATGTAGGACTTAAGAAAATGGATCAAGATGAAAAACTTTTACACAGTTCCTGTGTTGAAGGTAATTTGGCTTCTCAAAGAAGGAGCAAAACCTCACTATTTAAATCTTCCCCCATGTGTAAAATAGCTGTTGGCACTTTGGAGAACCTTATCTGGTGTTTCTTTATTTGGTATAGCCAGATTTTAGCCTCAGGCAGTTTTGATTATGGGCATTTGCAGTGTATACATAAGCTTCGTTCAGAGTTCAGGTCTAAAGGAACTGATAGAGTGTTGTTCTTGTCCATCTTAATACAGGGTTGGGCAAAAGTACGTTTACAGTTGTGAGTATGCTAAACACAGACTTCATTCTGGTATTATTATTGATTAATTATTGCATTATTTTTCATTTTTTAAAAAAAATATCTTTATTGATTTCAGAGAGAGGAAAGGAGAGGGAGAGAGAGATAGAAACATCAATGATGAGAGAGTCATTGATCGGCCGCCTCCTGCACGCCCCCGACTGGGGATCGAGCCTGCAACCTGGGCATGTGCCCTGACCAGGAATCGAACCCTGATCGCCTGGATCCTAGGTCGATGCTCAACTGCTGAGCCACGCCTGGCCAGGCTGCATTATTTTTCATACGAACAACTGTGAATCTACTTTTGCCCCACTCTGTTTACAAGGACAGGACCTGTTATTTGTGTATGTCTTCAGAAGGAGACAAAACCAGAACACAGTTGGGCTCGTAATTATTGATAATCAGGCATAATTAGAAAGGGAACCTATTTGGAGAGCTCCTCAGGATCATTCTTTGTGAAAATTTTAAAAACCATATTGTCTGAAAAGTTGTCTGCATTTTAAAGTGCTTTGTTGGCATTAATGCTTGGTTTTCCACAGCAGTGATGGGTTTGTGTCTGTGTGTGTGCGTATCTTTTCTTTTATAGACAGACGCATTCCAGAAGCCTGTTCCATTGGAACAGCATCCCGACTACGCAGAATACATCTTCCACCCCATGGACCTTTGTACATTGGAAAAGGTTGGCCTCCATCAAAGAACCTCACCGTTGTTGCCCACAGTTGAGATGACTAAGGATCCTCCCTCATTTTTCATTCCCCATCTCAAGTTAGATGGTTTCTCTACATTTCCTCTGCACTATTTTTATTGGAATGGAAGAACTTTTATTCCCTAATGCCTTCTGTAACATTCTTTTAAGGATTGCAATAGAGTGTCGAAGTCCACTGATTAGCTCTAAATATTACTTCTGCAGTGATTCTAGTTCTTTATAGGAAGAAGTCATAGCTTCTAAGACGTAGCAATTTGATGGATTTGAGCCTTACCTTTTCTTTCCTTTTGGAGATGCTAGTGAGAACAGCAGGAGAGAAGAGAAAATTAAGTGTCTGAGAAACCTTCACATTAGCAATACATTAATGGCTTCATAGAACTTGACTTACTCTACCGATAAGGGTATTTCTTTAATGCCCGGAGGTGTTTTAAAAGTTCATGCTAGACCTCTATGCTGAAAATGACACGTGTAACCCTTTAGATTGTGCACAACTTCTTGGTGCTGATTTTCAAATTGTTGGCACCAAAATCTGGATCAAGAAAGCATGTATGAGGAGAGAACATCACTTCATGTGTGCATGGATGAACCCCAAACAGTAAATCTCATTTGCTTTTGGAAAATTGCACACACTCTCATGGTATTCCAAAAAGACGGCATTCAAAAAAGACGGCATTCAAAAAAGACAGGGTTGGAATTCTAGCTTCCTAAATTAGTAGCTTTGAAACTGGAGAGATATGTTCCTTAACCTTTCCGTACCTTGGTCCCCCGTCTGTAAAATGGGAATGATAATGACTGCTTCATTGAATTCTCAGTCAGGAGGCTAATGGGAGACTATTACAAGTAACAATAAATACATAAATATATATAATGTCTGTTCACTGGAGTAAGCTGCTTGATAAAGGACAGCTGCTGTAAAATGAGAAAATTCAAGTTAGCGTGAGAAATTCAGTGGATATATTTTTAGAGTTATAGATCCTGACTATAATAGCATCTTGGGAAATGAGTAAAAACATTAATTAATTTGGCAAATGACTGCTAAGAAAATTATGTGGGGGACGCAGGTGCTACTGGCTGTGGCTTGTGTAGACTCACTGGTGATTATGCTCTGGCTTGTCTCCCCAGAACGCTAAGAAGAAAATGTATGGCTGCACAGAAGCCTTCCTGGCTGATGCCAAGTGGATTTTGCACAACTGCATCATTTATAATGGGGGTGAGTGGCATAGATGACACCTAGAAAAGAGAATAAGCTGTGTGTGTTGCCCATTCTTCCACTCTCCATAAAAATTCAGCCTCAGCTTCTCAGTCCTCTGAAGAGCTTCCCTTCGTGACCCAAACCATATGATATGCTCTTATTAGGGGCTGTCACAGTACCTGTTTGTTGGATACAGAGTTATCAGTCTTCTGAGTTTTCAAGACAAGCCGGAAATCTAGGGGGGGGTGTGTGTGTGTGTGTGTGTGTGTGTGTGTGTGAAATCTCTTTGCCAACAAACACAGTTTCTGAAAGTAAAATAACATATGAAGAAAACGTGGCTTTCTGACCATCTTGTCTCCTCTGGTTTATTGCAAAGGTAAGGGATTTAGAGTTAGATCTGGGGCCAGATCTTTAACTCATTAGCTAAGTGGGCTCGTGCAAGTGATGGCTCCTGAGCCTTGGCTTACTCATTGATGAAATGGGAATATTCATATCTGCTCCCTATTATGGCTTCTTGAGGGGTTAACAACAAAATGTATTTTGGCCCTGGCCGGTTTGGCTCAGTGGTTAGAATGTTGTCCCACGGATTGAATGGTCCCAGGTTTGACTCTGGCCAGGGGCATGTACCTCGGTTGCAGGCTCAATCTCCGGCATCACTGGTCAGTGCACGAGGCAACCAATCGATGTGTCTTTCTCACATCGATTTTTTCTCTCTCTTTCTCCCTTCCACTCTCTCTGAAAAGCAATGGAAAAAATATCCTTGAGTGAGGATTGGAAAATTAAAAAATGTATTTTGACGCATGGGTACACAGGAGCTACGTAATTAAATGCCTTCTTTCCCCCATACTGTTCTTGGGTTGGAGTTTGGAACAGCGGGTAGAGTAGGACTCCTTTCCACTAACTTGAGCCTTTAAAATGTAAAAGCATCTTTCAAATATTAATCCATAACTTGTAGGGAAACATCACAAATTGCTCAGTTTCAGAAAAGATGGTATCAAGGTACCAGGGACTGGCTGACATTCATGAGAAACGTCACATAATTTGAACTGGCATTAGAAGCCAGAACCTTCTGGATTTTAGCCTTTAAAAGCTTCATCCTGGGGGAAAACAAGTTAAAAGGTTGTTAGTGGAAATGCAATTGAAAGGCTGGGTGTTACATGTTTTCATTAAAATTAATCCTGTTTTCTTATTCCCTTAGGAAATCACAAATTGACGCAAATAGCGAAAATAGTCATAAAAATCTGTGAGCATGAGGTATGTTTTTCCCACTGTTGTGTGTTAAATGTGTCCAGAGTGAGGGTTGGGGTGGAAGAGATTTCCATGTGCAGAACCTCCTAGTGGGTAGCCAGAGTGATTTTAGAATTTGTTTAGACAGAGATGGGCTCCCCCTCTCTTTAAGGAAAAGTTAAAGTAACAAGGAGGGGACCCCCAATATGTTGTAGAGAACCCTCATCTTAGACATCAGCTAAAGGAGATGGAAATGACCATTTATTTTTTAGCTTTGAGTCATGGTCAAGCACCAGACATCCTGTGTTTTCTTGGTTGCATAGATAAAGTTCATAATTTCTTCACCCCACAGTCCGTGACTTTGAGTCAGGTCCTATTCAGTCTCCCTGCAGATGATCTTTGGTTTTTGACATTGTTTGGGGGAAAGGTCCTGACTCTCTCACAGAGCAGCCCAGGTGTCCTGGAGAGTCTGTTCCTTTTGCAAATACCAATAGGTTTGATGGTGTGGATGAAACCAACCTCCTGGGCTGTGCACCCCAAGGCTCAAGTGGTTGTGCGACAGGCTGGTGGCAGAAATGGTATGAGGAAGGCTTTCTTTATTAGATCCCCATTGTAAGAGGGAAAAACTGATGTAATGGCCTTCACCCTGTCTGTGCATTCGTTCATTCATTGATTCGAAAACCTTTGGGCATCTTAAGGTATGCTTATGCCTATATATTTACATTGAAAGAGTTTTATAATTTACATTTTTCACTTAGTTTAAATGTTTTCCCAGGTAATTAAACACATAGGAAGAACAGAATTTTTCATGGCTGTTCTGATGGGTTCCTTAGTGTAATTGTTAGAAGTGTACCTACCAAGTCCAAGGTGGTAAACATGGCAAAGACTTTAGGTAGATAATTCCAGATCGTCTGTTGGAAAAGCTGTAGCAACTTACACAGCAACCTGGAATGGAGCGTGGTTGTTTCTCTGCATTCTTTCCAATACTGGAAATTCTATTGAGAAAAAATACATGCACATAAGTTTCCCCTTAATGTGATCAGTGAGAACAGTGGCACCGCACTGTGATTTTGGTTTGCATTTCTCTGATGACAAGTGATCATGGACGGTTTGTAATACTGTTAATTGGTGATTTGGAGATTTGTGTGGGTGAGTTTTTCAGTTCTTTTCCCCTTGAGGAGTCATTTGTTTCCATGCATTTGGGAGCTGAGGCGTAGGCCTTTAAGTGGTGGGGTGCCCTGAGGTGGAATTTATTGAACCCAGATACTCTCTGTATGGCATTTTTAAGCAATTTTTTTTTTTTTTTTAATTCTCACCCGAGCATGTTTTTCATTGATTCTAGAGAGAAAGGAAGGGAGAGGGAGAGAGTAAAACATTGGTTGGTTGCTTCTTGTATGCTCCCCGACCCGGGATCGAACCTGCAACCTACGTATGTGCTCTGACTGGGAAACGAACCCCATAGCCTTTTGGTGTATGGGACGATGCTCCAACCAACTGAGCTACCCTGCCAGGGCTCTGCTGAGTTTGCCTGTTGGCATTTTTGAATTTGCCTGTTGGCAGCATACTGTTGGTTTGTGGGCTCCAAGGCCAGGGCTGTCCTGGACCTTGTGTTATCACTTTGTTCTACCCAGTACCATAAGAATAGAAGTAGACTGGATAGAAAGAGGTATTATGTCCTGGCATTCTTTTTTTTTTTTAAAATACATTTTTAAAATTTTATTTCAGAGAGGAAGGAAGAGGGGGAGAGAGATAGAAACATCAATGATGGGAGAGGGTTATTGGTCAGCTGCTTCTTGCACTCTCCCTGCTGGGGATTGAGCACGCAGCCCAGGCGTGTGCCCTGACTGGGAATCGAACTGAGATCTCCTGGATCATAGGTCAATGCTCAACCGCTGAGCCACGCTGGCCTGACCCTGGCATTCATTTTTCAGTTATAATTATAAAATTACTACTTAATAATTAATTGAGTATCTGCTANTGGCCTGGCCCTGGCATTCATTTTTCAGTTATAATTATAAAATTACTACTTAATAATTNCCACGCTGGCCTGACCCTGGCATTCATTTTTCAGTTATAATTATAAAATTACTACTTAATAATTAATTGAGTATCTGCTATATATTTGGCACCTTGTAAGATGCAGGACATAAAAATAAGTCTCATGGTGAAAAGAAGATGTAGCAACTAATAGGGCAATGGCGAAGTGCATGGGCTTTGGACCCCAACTGCCTGGGTTCAAATCCTGGCCCTGCCACTTTGCCACAGTGAGACCTTGGTTGGTCATGTTACTTGACTTCTTCTTGGGGCCTCATGCTTTTCCTCTGATATAGTGGAGTCTGAATTCAGATCCATGATGTTAGCTCCTGGGGCCCTTGGTTCTAAGACATGATGTTACTTTAGGGGAATACGCTTTCTCAAGAGGGAGAAGGAGTCCTGGTTGGTGTGGCTCAGTGGTTGGAGCATTGGCCCAGGAACCCAATGGTTGCAAGTTTGATCCCCAGCCACGGTTGGGGCATGTGCGGGATGCAGCCAATCAGTGTCTCTCTCTCTCACATCGATGTCTCCCCTACTCTCTCTAGAAAATCAATGGAAAAAATGAAGTTAAAAAAAGGAAGGATAGTAAGTAATATTATTTTCAGATTGTTGTCAGTAAAATAGGGCAACATGGTGTTAACTAACCACTCTGGATAGTGTGAGTAGAGATGCACAGAAATTGAGTATTGCAAGTGGAGGCCAGAGTGGCAGGAAGGCAATGGGGTGGTCGGACAGATGGGTTGAGGCCAGATCACACCTGGCCTTGAAGGAACTGATCAGGTGTTTAGATTTCATTGTTAGTTTCTCAATCTTGGCACTACTGACATCCGAGGCTGAAGAATTTTTTGTTGTGGGGACTGTCCTGTACATCATAGATACCCTGCCAAAATTGTGATAACCAGGATGTCTGTTGTGATAACCAAAAATGTCTCCAGACATTGCCAAATATTCTTGGAGGTGTTAAACTGCCCTGGTAGAGAATCACTAGTATTTAGATCAAGATCTAATTTATGTTTGTAGAAGGTAGCTTTGGCTCCTGAGTCTATGTGGGGAGTGAACCATAGTCGAAGCTGGGAGATACGTTCCAGAGAGAGATGATGGTGGCTTGGGCTGGGTGGAACTGTTGTGGTTGGTGAGAGGTAGTTCCCCATTGTGTGACTTTGTTTAGCGAATATTATTTCCCAATATTGTCTTGCATTTCTCGAGGGCCTAGAAATGTAAGGCCCCTGGGATGCCACATTCTAACATCTTTCTGCTTTACAGATGAATGAAATCGAAGTATGTCCAGAGTGTTATTTAGCTGCTTGCCAAAAACGAGATAACTGGTTTTGTGAGCCTTGTGTAAGTTGGATTTCCTTTCCTTCATTTTCTGAACTCTGTGCCTGGTTGTCTACCCAAGACAGCTTTCTCTAGGTGGCTTATTCGACCAAACTTAGGATGACATTTTAAAATAATTTTTCTACTGATATAGTTAGGGCAGAGTAAAAGCAGTGCAGGTAGGAAAAACCTCTTCAGCTGCTCATCAGAGAGAGTTGGGATTCACCAAAGTAATGTAGGTAATGACACAGTGTTAAATGAATGTGCCATTTACAAATCTATTTTAATAGGTTTGGAAATACCTCCTTGGATTAAGTCCATGGTCTCTCCAAATGTGTTGGTGGTGGTGGGTTGGGGGAGAAAAATCACCCTTGTTTTCCCCCATGGATCTGCATTTACCAGACTGGGGTTCTGTGTAGAGAAATGCAGTTTAGGAGTGGGCTGGTGGTGGTGGGGGACTTCATTGGGGGCCAAGATTGGGCAGGTAAAGTTGAGAATGAAAACTCAGTTTGTGTTTCTCCTTGCCTTTGGAGATTAACACCTGAATCGTTAAGGGTTTGAGTAGCCCTCCATAAAGAACAAAAGTGTGGCTAATACTGTCCCTTATTACATGCTAGATGTAACGCACACTTAATCTTCCACCTTAACAGAGGCCGAGAGTATTACTGTGTGTTGCACAGAAAGGCCACCCAGGTAATAACAACACAACCTGGATTCAAATCTGGTTTTGTCAGTGCTCAGTTCTTAAGGGTTTCACCATTTAATCCCATTCCCATCTCCGCCCAGGCCTACCGGCCACATGCCTTCGAGGTACTCCACCTGGGGAGACTGTTTGAAACAGTTCTCTTTCACTTCGTGGCCTCTATCACCTCTGCTTTGCTTTATCCCCACACACCAAACTTTATGTGTGTATCTTGCTGTCAAATACATTCAGACTCTGGATTTTGTTTTTCTTTTCCTAGAGCAATCCACATCCTTTGGTCTGGGCAAAACTGAAGGGGTTCCCATTCTGGCCTGCCAAAGCTCTGAGGGATAAAGACGGGCAGGTTGATGCCCGTTTCTTTGGACAACACGACAGGTGGGAGTTAAAAACGGGCTACCAATGTGTGGCTTTCACTGAACCTTTGATAACGGTCAGTGGGTACGAGCAGGAGCGGACGGTATGGCTGTCATTTTGTTGATTGTCATGATACCCACCGGTGATCTTGTAGTTTAAAAATACTGTCCTGTGCTGTGTTAACCCTGAAAGGGATGCGTGGGCTTCAGTTTTTTCAGGTATATTAGAAGAGAATCTTGCTTTCTTGCTTTTGTTGATGAAACCAGCACCAGAATAAGGTTCCATGGCTATTTCAAATGCTGCTGTTCTTTTTATTTTATTTTTCTGGAATAAATCAAACCGTTGTGCAAATTGGTTTTCAAAATAATGCTCTCTGGGATCAGAAGCATTTTCCCAGATTACCAGTAAATGGATCTCCTATCATTGTGCTGAGTAGTTCCCCCTGTTCCCTTTTCTCTGAAGCTAAAATGGGAAATTATAAGGGGTTGTTGTTTTGACAGGTGTGAGCCCTCCCTCCCAGCCGTTCTGCCTTCCCTTTCCCTCGCTCACAGTGAAGTGAGTTATTCCAGCGATTAGCAGTTCCCTTTAAAGCACAGCCTCCCACGTGCTTGAGAACAACGGGTAGACCAAGATGAGCAGCAGTTAATATCTTAGCTCTATTTTAGCAAGCTAAGTTATGATTAAATAAGGCAGAAGCCCTTTGGAAGCCCCACCAAGCAGTTTTACATAAGCGTGTGAATGTGTAGGGGAGAATATGTAAAAGACAGAATGCTAAATATTATGCACAGCCACAGAGTGTACAGACCATGCAGTTTATAATTTTATACAACACCGGAATCTGCAATACCGCTCTCTTTGTTAAATTTTGCCTGTCATCTTGCAAATCAAAGAAAAGAGTGAATTCCAAAGTAATCTACAAAATCATTTACTAGGAATCCAGGCCGTCCAGTGTCAGGAGGCGAAATGGAAGTTAGCCGAGATGATCGTGGGTTTGATAGGAGGTATTATCCTTTATTTGATTTTGACCGTTTTTGTTGGAACTCTTTTAAAAATTCATTTATTTGTTCATTCAGAGAAATATGTATTTGGTGCCTGCTGTGGGCCAGGCTGTGTGCTGGATGCTGGCGGTTTAGGGTTGGGTAGGCAGACACTGTGTCTGTCTGTCTAAAGGGTGGCATCCCAGTAGGGAAGACAGGTAATACACAATTAAACAGACCGATGCTCAGTGAAGATCTGGGTGGAGGGGCCAGAGAAAACAGAGACTCAGGAGGGAAGGGCCAAGGCCCTTTGTGCTCAGGAAAAGCCAGGAACACAGTGTGGTTTGGACCGGATGAAAGAGGAGAGGATGATAAAGGGGAAGGGGTTCGGGGGTTGGGTAGGGCCCGGATCACGTGGGCTGTTGTCAGGAGTCTGGCTTTTATTTGAAGAGCAAAAGGAACTGGTGGCAGGTTGTACATCTTCCTGCCTCTTCATTAGAACATGCACGTGTTAACCATCTTGATGATTTAGGATTATTCTTATTCTACAGTACAGTGTAATATGGATAGACTTAGGATACAGGTCCATATGCACCAAATGTTCCCAGACCCTTACAGTCTTGGGTTCTGCTTTTATCTGAGCCACTCTGCATGGACCTCTTTCTCCTACCGAAGCCCATTGAAGGTGACTAGGGGCATGAACTTTGCTGGCTCTGTTTCCAGAGGCTGTTTTCTCTGCAGCTAAAAAGACAGCAGCACAAGTCTGACGTCCATGAGGTTTTCTTGAGCCCCTGTGATAACCTCTGTCCCCTCAGAGGGAACGTGCTGAGCTGTTTGGCTTATTTTGGGTGAGGGATGTGCATTGGGCAAGGTGGTCCAGACACATGCAGTGGTGGAGTGACAGTGTGTTGGCCTTGTAGGACTGTGTCAGTTGGCCTTGGGCAGGGAGTCCTTGACAGCTTTGGGGGAAGCCACTCCTAAAAGGATGAGCGTTCCTCCCTTTCCTGAGATGCCCTTAAAGCAGAAAGGGGCGGGTTTGTCCACAGCTGGCTCTGATCAGACCCAGGAGCACCACGGGGAGACTACAGGGAGGCTGCAAGATGGGTAACATGCTGTCCCTTTTACAGGGAGTTTGCTTTGGGGGTTGTAGAGACAAAACGTGACCCTGGACAGGTGTCAGTGAAATAGGTCCAGACAGCAGAGTAGGAATATCACAGACCATTAATTACATGGTCACCGTCAAGTTAATGAATACTGGAGCCTGGGAAGGCTCTTATGCAAATCAAGGCATGTTCTCAGGTGTCTCATCACGTGCCTTTTGTCCTTTAAAATATTTTGATTTTGCCTGGTTGGTGTGGCTCAGTGGTTGAGCATTGACCCATGCACCAAGAGGTCACCGGTTCAATTCCCGGTCAGGGGGCATGCAGGAGGCAGCCAATCGATGTTAATATTTCTCTTTCCCTCTCCCTTCCTCTCTCTCTAAAATCAGTAAAAACATATTTAAAAATACACACACAACTTTAAATGCTATTTTTAAAAAATTATTTAAAATTTTGATTTTTTTGTGTTTTATTTCACAGACACACACAATATTATGTAAAAATACAGAAAATATTTTATTAAATTCCTGCAGAGCTGGCATTAACTGAGGGCCAACTATGCAGCAGGCACTGTTTTAAGTGCTTTTTGTAGAACCTGCTTTTATTCCCATCTCACTGGTAAGAAATCTTTGGCCCAGAGCTAGGAAGTACTTCAGCTGTGTGACTCTGTGGCCTCTCATGACATTGCCCCCCACAGGCTTTATATTGTTAAGCAAATCTAATTTTCCTTTAAATATTTCCTGGGCCTGCTTAAAGGAAAAGAAAGAGTCACTTTCCTGAAATCACTTGCCAAGCAACTTCATTGAAGGCACTTAAGAACCTGGGAAGAAACAGGTAAGGCCCTGATACCAGATAACAGTGTGGGGGAGACGCGGTCCCAGTGACCGACTGGCTGATCAGCTCCTGGTGGTACCGGGACTGGGGCATTTCGTTTGCTCCCCTTGGAACCCCTCCAGGTTGGGGCTCCTCTATTTTACTGATGACAGCGCTAAGGCTGGCTGGCTCAGGGAAGGGGAGTCACTTGTCTGTATACAGCCCTGGGGAGCTTGACTGCCCCATACCTCTGTCCTGCCTGGTTCGGACTCTTGCCCACCCAGTTGTAATACCTGGAGTCCAGGTCATTCCACCTGGCTGCAGATGTGGTTCCTCAGGTCTCAGCAGAAGGGCAGCAGCGAGTTGGAAAGGATGAGAAGCTGGTCACTTCCAGCTCTCTGAGAGAGCAGATACTGTTCGGGTGGTCAGTTTTAGTTTGTGTCGCAATCTAGCATCACCAAGAGTTGCAAACAGACAGCCTGTGCCCTGAATTCTGCCCCATGCACATGCTTTATTTCCCCAGGGTTGCTTTTTCTTTTAAATACAGGAACAAGATGCCAACTGTTAAAATTTGGGTAAAACATAATAGAAGAAACTCATATTTTGTTTCTCTTTGAAACCTTGGGATGCTTGGTAGTGTTGGGTTCAGATTCCTACATGGGCACTTATGATAGCACTTGGGTGGGTGGTATTTGCATTAGACTGGCTGTGAGTTTAATTCCTCCCCACAGTTCACTTTGCGTCCTACGTGATACCAGGCTTGAGTTTATGGTCTGTGAAATACAAAAGGCCTCCTTGGAAAGCTCACTCCCACCAGATTCCCAGCCGCAAACTGGGTTGAGGTTGGGGGATGAAATGTGACCCAAGTTACATCTTGGATGTTTCTGTGTCGGCTCTGCCTTCCCCAGAGTATGGGGGCTGAATGCCCATCTCCTGCCTGTTATCATTTGGGTCACTGATTCCAGGAAAGCAGCTCATTTTCTCACGAAGTCTGCAGAGCATTTGGGGGTGTGGGGTGATGAGGGTAGGAAGACGGAACCAGCCTGGGAAGTGGAGGACTCATACCTGAAAGCAAAGGGGCTATTTTTTATTTTCTATGTGAATTTTCTCACATTCAAAACCATGCGCCTCCTTTTAGGGTTATGGTTTTCCAACATTTCCTCCTAGTTCCATGGAGAACCCCAATTTTAAAAGAGAAAGCTTTTTATTGTTTGAGTGCAAAAGAGTGGGCTCGGGGAATAATTTTCTCTTGGGAGGTGTGGTCTAGAATGCAGTGACTTTCTTATTCTCTGCCAACCCAAAGCCAAAGAGGCGTTATTATTATTTTAATAGATTAAAATGACTAAGTCTATTGAGCCTTTTAATGTTTTCGTTAAGTTCATGTTCACATGCAGTCCTGATGACAGAACACGTTTGGTAAATGGATCATTTATTAACCATTCAAGCCAAGCCATTTTTAAAAAAATGAAATGTGCATTTAAGAATCCTGGCAAGCATACTAGGCTAATTTGGTTTGCGTTAAGGAAAAAACAATTCTGAAAACAACCTGAATGTTCCATTGACAGATGAGTGGATAAGGGAAATGTTGTATGCGTACATAGTGGATACTATTCAGCCTTAAAAATCATGCCACAACATGGCTGAAGCTTCAGGACAATATGCTAAGTGAAATAAGCCAATCACATAAGGACAAATTCTGCATGATTCCATTTATGTGAGGAATCTATGTCAAATACACAGAATCAGAGTGGAATGGTGGTCGCCAGGGGGCAAGGGGAGGGCAGGTGGAGAATTGCTAGTCAACGGGCATAAAGTTTTGGTTACACTATAAATATGCTCTAGAGATTTGCTTGCTGTACAACTTGTGCCTGTAGCCAGCAATTCTGTGTTGTACACTTACACATCTGTTATGAGGGTAGAACTCATCTTAAATGATCTTTCTACAATGAAGTAATTTTTTAAAAAGTTAAAAAACAAGCCTTGGAAATGACCAAACTTTATTTAAACTCTCTTTCTCTTTTGCCCTCCTAGGGCCTGGGTTCCAATAAATAATTGCTACCTCATGTCTAAAGAAATTCCTTTTTCTGTGAAAAAGACTAAAAGCATCTTCAACAGTGCAATGCAAGAAATGGAGGTTTACGTGGAGAACATTCGCAGGAAGTTTGGGGTTTTTAATTACTCTCCGTTCAGGACACCCTACACGCCCAACAGCCAGTACCAAATGCTGCTCGACCCCAGCAACCCCAGCGCTGGTGCCGCCAAGATAGACAAGCAGGAGAAGGTCAAGCTCAACTTTGACATGACAGCGTCCCCCAAGATCCTGATGAGCAAGCCCATGCTGAGCGGGGGCACCGGCCGCAGGATCTCCTTGTCGGATATGCCTCGCTCCCCCATGAGTACAAACTCTTCTGTGCACACGGGCTCTGATGTGGAGCAGGACCCTGAGAAGAAGGCCATGTCGAGCCACTTCAGCGCAAGCGAGGAGTCCATGGACTTCCTGGACAAGAGCACAGGTCAGCCCTGGGCGGGAGAGGGTGGAGGGGGCCCCCGGACCCTGAGTTTCCCCAGGCGCCACACCTGGCGGGCCCAAGCTGACCATTGTCGCAGAATCAAAGGACCCTTCATGAGGTTTCAGTCTCATGGAGCAAGTTTTAAAGTTTAAATGAGTGACGCAGTTGGATTTTTGCTGTTGGGGACCAAAAAATGACAAAAGCATTTCCAACAGTCCACCTTGCAGGTCATTCCTAGAAGTGGGCAGAGATGGCTAGAAATCCTTCAGAGTTCAGCTCAGATGCCTCTTAGAGTAATCACACCAACTTCCCCTAACAGTTTTCCTGTCTCAAGAATTTTATTTTAATTGAAACATTATCTTTCTATCAAACCCATGCACTTACATGCTTAAACATCAGAGAAACATGCAAGGTAAACAATAATCCTCTTTCCCCAAGAGCTGTCTTGCTCCTTAAAAGTCACCTAGTTTGACAATTGTCTTGCATTTTTGAAACTTGCTATAGTTGAGTGGTTAAGAATGACGACATTGGACTCAAATTCTGGTTTTGCCACTCCTACCTATGTGGCTTTAGTCAAGGTCCCTAACCTCTTATGCCTTAGCTTCCTCATCTGTAACATGATGATAGAAATAGGACCTGCCTCATAGATTGCTGTAAGGATTAAATGAATCAATATACACAGAGGGCTTAGAACAGCGCCAGGAATAGCAAATGCTACAAAGTGTTGATGACTCTGTTATTTCTTATGGTTGCTGATCAAATGCCTGTGTGTGGATTCAGAGAGGTGATGCAGAAGAGGTACTCTGGCACAGAAAGTCATGGCGACTTGAATTCTTTCTACCCAGATGTAATCTGGTTTGCATGTTAAATACTTAAGAACTTGATTACTTCCATTTGAAAATGAGCTTACTGTCATTTTTCTTGAAACATGGCCTTCGCTGTTTGTTTGTTGTTGTTCTACCTTTGAGGAACTTGGGCACAGAGAGCTTCCACACTAAGGGGAGACTGTTGAGGGGGCTGGACCGGTGAACCCCAGGGCATGTGCCCTCTCAAGGGCTTCAGCCCATGGTGGCCATGCAGGAATGTGGACTCATGGTTTTCAGATCTTAATATTCTTCCAGAGACCTGGGAAATCTGCATTTATTACTTAAAATTTTTAATGTAAACTCCAATTATTAAATGTCAACTCAAAATATACTTTAGAATATTTTCCAGAATGAATGAAGCACCACCACAGGTTGGACCTTCTGCATTAGAATTTCTGCCAGAGCTTTAACCTCAGATAGCTTTTTGGAACCCCACCCCCCCTTAGTTTTTACGTAAAAACTAAGGAGCAGGCATCAGTTCTTTAAGAGACCACAGAAGTCCCCAGAAGATAAAATGATAGGGACTTAATTGTGAACTCAATTTCGCCCATTTTGGTTGTGTTGTTTCTTGGTTCTGGTTGGTTGGTTATTTTCAGATTCTGCTTGTAGCTGTTCCCAAAATGGCTGTGGGTGGAGTAGAGAGAGGTAACTTCCAGTGGCTTCTGGTTCTTGATAATAAAGCCTTGCAGTCTCTTTCCCCAGTTCTGATCATAGCCGTGGAGTTGTAGAGCTTTGTTCTCAGACGACGTAACTTGTGTTGACGTAGTTTCAGAAAAAACTTCCCTTTTGCCATTTAGTTTCTGACCAGAGTCCTTAAAAGCTTCCTTTTATTCTGTGACCTGATTCCATATAAGCCCAGTTAACAGAACATGGTGCGTGACCACACAGGCTCCTCAGCCTGCTGCTTCCCATGGAGAACTCGCTTTTGAGAAAGGTTTTTAACCTGGGCAGCAATCCCGGGAAGAATCACTGTTGCCTGAACTTTCATTGCCATGATTTTTGCCACATTCTAGTACCACCTATTTTATTACATTATTAAACATTAAACCTCCTACTTAGCTTCACCCTAAGCTGAATAAAATGTATAAACATGTGCTTAAATTGCTTGTATTTTTTTCCTAAAATACATGAAGTGAATACGTAACTTGTAAAATAACACCTGTTGGTCCATGAACCCACTATCAGTTCTCCTGCATTGCATTTCAGAAAACAGTTTTATAGGAATATGAGAATACCTATAATGTGTTGAATTTATTAGCTTCTTCCCTTCGGAGGTACAGAGGTTGAAATGACATCAGGAGTCCTGACAAAATTTCTCATCATTTGAGTAGCTTTTGAGGTGCTAAGTTAGTAGACTTTAAAGTCCTCCCAAAATACAGTCCCCTTGCTGGTATGTGCTTGGGTCATTTTGCTAATCCTGAGTTGTACAGCCAATGAGTAGTACAGGAAGAGAAGGTGATATTCAAAATTGTTTTAATCTTACAAATTATCCCCTTTTTTGTAAGGAGCCAGATAGAAATATTTTAGGCTTAGTGGGTCTCTGTCACAACCATGCAACTATTCAACACTGTCATTGTTACTAAAACAGCCATAGGCAGTAGGTGGCTGTGACACTAAAATGTGAATTTCATATAATTTGTATGTTTTGTGAACTATACTAATCCTTTTGATCCCCGCCACCCCCAACCATTTAAAAATGGTAAAATAAATACCCTTCTTAGTTTGCAGGCCATATAAGAACAGGTTGGTATGCTAGATTTGGCCCATGGGTCAGTTTGCCAACCTCTATTGTAGACTAAGAGAAACTGAGTCAGTCTCCCCATTTTACAGAAGGCAAGTTGAGGTCCCTTCAGAGAGTGTGGGGAGGTGCCCAGGTTCCCACTGCCCCATCCTGAATCTGGACCATCTGGTCTGCTTTTCTTTTCACTGCGCTTTACTGCCCTCTGCTGTTTGCAGTGATAAGAGCATTTATTGGAAGAAGCGGAATATTTATTGAAATGCTCCCACAGTCAGACAAGACGGTGATTTATCCAAAACTGTATAAAAAAGAAAGATTGCCATAGGAACAGAAAAACCATATAGTTACAGCAGTGAAAAATTTCTAACCAGCAACATAAAATTGAAATACGTTATTAAATAAAACTTTTATGAGAGTTTAGAAACCCTCCTTTGCTCGTGCGCGTGTGTATTGAGGAGCTCAGAGTCGTGTGTCTGTGACCTCAGAACTGGATTTAGCTTCCTGAGATGCATTTTACTCAGCCTGAAGCCTTGTCCTGGAATCTCATCGTCTTAATGGTCAAAATGGTTTATATTCTCAGTGATTTTTTTCTGCTTCCCCCTTTATCTAGATCACCTGGCCAGAATTGATGCCTTTGTCAATATTTGCTTGTGGGATCCCAGTTTAAGTCATTAGTATGTATTAGGGTGAGAGTCCTGGGTCCTGGCTGTCACCATCCTGTGAGCTAATGGTACTTCAGTCTTTATAGCTCTGTATGGGTTACTGCTTAGGGAGAAGGGAAAACATTTTCATAAACTTGTTTTTATTGTGAAATCAATATGTATTTGTTGTAAAATAATTGTTATTTACAAAGACCAAAGTCACAGACGATACCATCTTCCACAGTCAGCCCTTAGATAATTTCCAAGACTTTTTCCATGTTAGTTTAAAAGTCTTACTATTACGTTGAAAACTCAGGTACATTCATAGGTCAGGCAGGTATGGAAGTGAGTGAGGCTGGTAGGGACTTGGGTGAACCAAAGCAGAAATTCATGACTCATTACATGTACACACATGTGCTTTTGTGTGCAACACTTCCCAAAGCAGTGCAGTACGTACAATCTGATACATGATGCTCTTAGCTGTGGCTTTTTTTTTTTTTTTGTAAATATGTCTTTATTGCTTTTTAGAGAGAGAGGAAGGGAGAGGGATAGAGAGATAGCAACATTGATGAGAGAGAAACATCATGGATCAGCTGCCTCCTGCACACCCCCTACCTGGGGATTGAGCCTGAAACCTGGGCATGTGCCCTGACCAGGAATCGAACTATGACCTCTTGGTTCATGGATCAGTGCTCAACCACTGAGCCTCACCAGCTGTGCTATGCCTTTTTTCTAAAGGGCACTGGGCCCTTTTCCTCCTCCTGGTTGTAGCCACTTGGGAATGGGGGTTCAACATTGCCTGATTTCTGGTTGTTCTAGAGAAGTCTCATGTCTTTTTAAATGCAAACTACCTTGACTTTTATATATTGGCTCAAATGAAGAAAAAAAAACCCCCACACAATATGCTACGTCAAGTGCATCTGTGCACTACTTGGTTTCTGGATCAACTGTTTGCAATGTCTGGTATAGACTATTTGGAGTTTTTTGTTTTAACTTAACCTTGTGTTCTGAATACTTTTTCATGGTGGTCAGTAACCCTTCAACACAGCATTTCTGTCCTGTCAGAGACCGTCCAGTTATGTTCCACTTTGTAGCTCATCTGTGCGCATCACCAAGACTTGTGTAAGACTCGGCAATTTGAACACATAGGTTGTTTCCAAGGTTTTATAAGTAGAGGAAATTTAGCATGAATCAGTACCTCCTTCACCCCCACCCAGAGGGCCGGGGTGTGAGAGGGAGGAGGGAGATTTTTTTCTAATTCTAAGACTCATGTTTTATGTAGTCAGAATAGCACTTAGCACAGGCTAGGATTTTGTAAACGTAGATAATAAATGATGTGTTTTAGCCCACACCCGTGAATTGCACATCAAAGCATAAAATCTTATTAAATTATTGGTGACTTCAAAGGCTGTTAGTTCTTCCTTTGGGCAAGATTTATGGCTTTATAAAAGGATTGGCATCTGTTTCAAAGCTTAATTGAAACGAGCATTTCCCAATATCCTTTTGCTTTTGAAAATTCTTACAGTGATTTAAAACAGGGTTTCTCAGTCTTGGCATCGCTGACACTTTGGGCTGGATAACTCTGTGGTGTGACTGTCTTGTAACTTAACAACATCCCTGGTCCCTACCTATGAGATGCTGGTAGCACACCCTGTTCATAAGACAGTCAAAAATGTCTCCAGACATTGTCATGTGTGCCTTGAAGGGCATAGTCACCCCTCCAGTCCCCATTGAGAACTGCTGATTCAATGTCCCACGCTTTTGAGTTTTAGCTCTGACAAAATTCTGATTGCTTCACATTTATCTTTGAAGCTCTTCAATATTTACATTTAATTTTGTCTCATTTTTTTCTTGAACATAGAATATCCCTTTTAAAATTTAGTATTATAGAATTAATAGCACATCATTCTATCCTAAAAGGTGGCAACTGTTAAGAATTGGCCATTCTTTCAGATTTTTTAATGTGTATAATCAGATTGATGATGATAAATTTTTTTGTGGTGGAATGCAATCATACTAAGCTTTTTGTTTCTTAGCAAAGTTTCTTTGACTTCTTTCTATGTTGGCGCATATAATTCTAATTTTCAGTAGTATATAGATTGTAATGTAACAGATGTTGGGGTTGTGACTGAATTTGGGGGAGACATTACTTGGAGGAAGAAACCTTGGTTTATGAAGTAATTTGAATACACATGTTTTAAATGGATATACCAATTTGTTTTCTTAATGTAAGTTTTACATATATACGTCCTTACTAACTTTCTAACGCCCAATGCTGTAGGCATTTTGGCAAGCCTAGTATTACATGGTTTCTCTAGGTGGCCACATACAAAGCCTGAATAAGTTTTCAAGAGCATATCTATTGAAGCTCACTGGAGTCATACAATTACAGAATCATTTCTTTATTTACATTTTTCTATGCTACATATTTTTCCACCTTTGGACTATTGTGAATTGTGCTGCTGTGAATATTTGTGTACAGGATTTGCTTGAATACCTGTTTTGAGTATATACCTGGGAATGGACCTCCATGAAATGTAAAGTAATGTATATCTGCTTTTGTGCTGCATGTATTTCTCTGCTTTATACATAAGGTGCAAGATTTTTTTCACCTTCTAAAAACGGCTTTTTATCCCTTGAGGGCCATATTGCCCCCATTGAGAATGTGTGGATTAGGGTGATAGCAGTGGAGATGGCGGTCAATGGAGAGGTTTGGCGTATATTTTGGATGTGGTGTGCAGTGGCCTTGCTGAAAAGTTGGCTAAGTTGAGGCAGGAGGAATTGAAGTGGTCTTGAACTGCCTGGTAAGTGGTCGTAGCATTAACCGATAGGAGTTGAAGCAGGTACAAGGTCTGTTGCCAATCGGGCAGATAGGGCTCGTGGCACTAAGGGGTGGGCAAGAGCCCTGGCTTTCTCAGGGCTAATTTTTGGTGTGGGATCTGTGGCTTGCTAGGTGACTCCGAGGGGCTGCTCCTCTGTCAATGACATGGAGGATTGTGGTTCTAGATGTCTCTGAGGGTGGCCGGGGGGAGAGTAAGGCAGACCTTTCTCCATGGGAAACCAGTGTTCTTCTGTCACCCTTATTTTTGAGTGTCAAATGCTATGTTTTGAAGAAAACTTAAAACCTGTTTCTTAAACTTCAATATTGAAGTTTTATTAACAATGGAAACTTTATGTTCTGTGAAATTAAAGGTTTGCTCCAGTTATTTATTTTTATTACACACACACACAATTATAAAGATAACGCCTTTACCTGTGTTGTTGCTAAAATCCTCTACAGGACCACAGTGGGGCAGGGCTCTGTTAGGCGCCTCCCGGCCTCTGCTTACTCGATCTGTTAAGCCGGGAACCGCTGACTCACATGGTTGACGTCTCTTGTGACAGTGCCTGTGTATGTTATTTTGTTCTTGCTCCCTTTAGAGTTAGGATTCTGTGTCAGAGTTCCCCGCAGTCCCCAGCAGTGCTTTGATAGTGTGCTAAGTGAGACCCCCTCTGCTAGACCTGCTTGTTAGTTTGTTTTAGAGAATATAATTAGAAAAGCCTGGTCTGTAGTCCTCATGGGAGCACGTTATACCGACCTTTTCAGCCACTGCAAATCTCTTGGAAGCAGGTAGAACATAAATGAATGGATTAAAAACAAAGCAAACAAACAAAATAAACCCCACAAAGAAACCAAACATCCTAACACTAATGATTTATTGGAAATGTTTAAGTCTTTTTAAATGCCTTTAACTTCACTTATTCTTGTTTCTCTGTGTAACAGGCGCTTTAGTTCTGCTTGTTAGTACAAGTGGTTAGAGTACCAGGTTGGTACCAGTAACAGCCTGCAGTTGAGAGAATGCTGGGCCAGGCATTCATTCATTCTGACAGTAAAACTGATTTAATTTAATATTTAAAAAAGCTGAATTCTCAAAATAATTTCAAATGTCTCTTGAGCACTTGCTAAGCACCAGTTGACGTGGATTACCTAATCTGGTCCCCACCTCCTCCCTTCATTTCCAGAGGAGGTGAAGGATTCCCAGAGGCACAGCTGCTTCGTCCCCGTGTGGGCTGATTAGTCTCAGCACTGTTGACAATTGGGGCCAGAGATAATTCTTTGTTCTGGGAGGTTGTCTTGTGCCCTGTGCACTATAGGATGCTAGCAGCATCCCTGGTGTCTACCTACTACGATGCCAGTAGCACCCTGCCCTTGGTCGTCTGACAGCCAAAAATGTCTGCAGACATTGCCTGTGTCCCGGAGGACACAGTCCTGAATGAGAACTGCTGGCTTAGATGATTAAAACCAAAGTCCTAGAGGTTGATGGGAAGTAACACTAAGAGCAAACAATGGTATACAATATAGTATTTAATAGATGCCAGGCAACTGTCCAGACAATTAATTTATTTGGTCCTTACAACTTGATGAGGGTAGGTACTTTTACCCTCCCTTTGTATTGTTAGTATTCTAGTCCTCTTTGTGGCTTCCAGGAAAGGAGATTCAGAGACATCAGGTAACTTACTCGAGGTCACACAGCAAGTCAGTAACAAAGCTGGGATTTGTGCCCAGTCTGGCTTCCCATCTATGCTTGAGTTCACTTCTCTCTAGGTCTAGGGTCCTCCCCACTGTATTACGTCGAATACAGCATTGGCAGGTCCTGGCACTGGAGGTGAGCTTATCTCGTGTATATTGAGTAGCCGAGCTGGTGTATAAGTTATTGAATCCTCACTTTGAGCAGGTGAGGAAACAGGCAAGTGCCCACCCAAGTATCTGAGCACTTTTGAAGTCCCCATGATGTCTTGATACCTAATGCCTTTGCCATCAACAGATTTCTCTTAAGGACCCGATAGAGTCAGTGTTTCATGTGCATCTGAGTGGAGCTGGCTATTTTGCTGCCTGTCACACGTTTAGCAACAAGGACAGCCCCAGTAATGTCGAGGCACAGGATCTAAAGGATCCCTGGGAGGCTGTAGCTGGACCATCTGAACCACCTCCTTTTGTTAAATGGTTTGGTTTCTGTCCTTCCTCCCCCAACCCAGTGAATGAGGTTAGGGGAGCAGGATGCAGGTAGTTCTGAGGTATTTTTTAAAGCCCTGGGCATAGGTATGACTCTCCACCCTCCTGTTTAATTTTGAAACACAGTAAAAGGGAGGTAATTTAGTCTCATCACTCCATTTGGGGCTGAATTTAGCTTCCTTCAGTATTGCAGAACCTTTGAAATGGGCATCCCTAGCTCTCCCGACGGGTCACGTTGGCCCTCGGCAGGTGCAGTGCTGGCCCCTACGTCTCCCACAAGCGGTTGGCATGCCATTTGTAGGCCTGGCTCTGGTCTCTGCCTCTGGACCGTGGCGGGGGCTGCTTTAATCACTATTTATTTTGAGATTTTTACACCCTTGAATGGGCCAAACCAATTTCAGTGGCAGCTTAGCCGATTTGTCTTAGAGCTTTGTGTTTAATAGAAGAACTGAGGAGGCCTCCTTCCTTTTTGGCTTGAACGGTTTAACACTGGGAGAAAGCCCTTTGCTTGGAAATAAATGGCCAGCCCCGCCTGCTCTCCCCCAGCTGTGGTGCTCTGGTTCCCTGTTGAAATCAAATATAATTCTCTGCTCTCCCCCACCCCACACCTACAAGTTTGATTTGTTTATTTCTTTGTAAACCTGTCTTTTAACAAGTGCCATACCTTTTCAGCGTCACCGGCCTCCACGAAGACGGGACAAGCAGGGAGTTTATCCGGCAGCCCGAAACCTTTCTCTCCTCAAGCATCCACGCCAATCACGACAAAAATGGACAAAACGGCCACCACCACTGGAAGCATCCTGAATCTTAACCTGGGTCAGTTGGAATTTTTGGAAGTCTCTTTCTGGGGCACCTGAATATTTTTACAGGTTGTGATTTCCTTTTTTGTGTGTGGTTCTTGAATTCTGAACTCTTTGAGCAAACTGTTTAAAAGGTACAGTGGAGGAACATGAACAGAGATCAGTAAAAGGAACAAGTGAGGGATTTCCTGGGGTTTGTTGACATGCAAAGCTGTTCTATCTTGAAGTACCTTAGGCCAATGTTTATAGCCTTACTTGCCCTTGACCATAGTAACCCAGTTCTCATACGCCTAAATATATATATTTGAAGTTTTAAATATATTGTGTGTGTGTATACATATATATGTATATATATGCACATATGTATATACTTGATGTATATCAAGTATTATGAATCAGTATTTACCTTTACTATGTGCAGTATATTCTGATATATTGTTTCCTTAATTCTTTACTAATTTTTTTTTAAAAAGCACTATCTTAGCCCTAGCCAGTTTGGCTCAGTGGTTAGAGTGTTGGCCCACAGAATGAAGGGTCTCAGGTTTGATTCCTGCCACGGGCACATACCTTGGTTGCAGGCTCAGTCCCCCGCCCTGGTTGGGGCGCCTGCAGGAGGCAACCAATCGATGTGTCTCTTTCACATTGATGTTTCTCTCTCTTTCTCTCTCTCCCTGCCACTCTCTCTGAAAAGCAGTGGAAAAAATATCCTAGGGTGAGGATTAAAAAACAAAACAAACCACTACCTTAGGCCAAAGTCTTCAGCAAAAATTGGCATTGGAAATGCTAATTACCTAACTTTATATGAAATTATTATTTTACTGATTCATTCCTTCTCAGTTTTTATTGAGCATCTATTATGTGCCCTGTACTTCCTTAGGCATGGGGCAGAGTGTGGTGAGCAAGGGCGCTGCTCTTGTGGCACTTGGGTTCTAGAAGGGGACAGAGAATTATCAAGGTAGATAAACGGGACAGTTCATGCCATAAGGTAAAATGTGTTAATATGATGAGGAGAGAGATGGGCGGGATGGGGTGGGGAGAAGAGGCATTGGTTCACTGGGTGGAAGGGTTAGGGAAAGGCCTATCTGAAGTGGAGGGTTGCATGACAGGAAAAACCAGCCATGCCAGGACCAGGAGGAAGAAAATTCTAGAAGGAACAAGAAATTTATAGGCCCTAGGGTAAGGATGAACTTTCTGTGTTATAGGAGTGTCAGGGAGGCCTGGGTAGTGTGGGGAGGGGGAGGTGAGGCCAGAGAGTACAGGGATCTTAAGGAACCCTGGTTTGAGCAGTGGAAGGATGTGAACTGACTTAGCATTTTAGAAGGACCTCTTGGCTGCTAGGTAGAGACTAGCTCATGTCTACTATTTCCAAACTGGGGTAGTTCCTCCCTCCCCCCAAGAGACACTTGCAGTGTCTGGAGACATTTCTAGTTGTCACACTTTGGGGTGGGGGATGCTGCTGGCATCTAGTGGGTAGAAGCCAGGATGCTGTTGACCACCCTACAGTGGATAGAATAGGCCCCCACAACCGGGAATTACTGGGTTGTGCCAGTAACTGTTGACAGATATGGTTGTGGCAGGAGAATTAGGAGCCAAGAGTTCAGCTTTAGATTCTGTATGTTTGGTGCCCTGAGGCCAGGTCAAGGCAGGAGGTATAATTCTGGGAGTCTTGATTTATACACAGAATTGGGTTAGAGCAGTAGTTCTCACGGAGCTGGGCAGGGGGGTGCCTGCTACTGGCATTTAGTGATTTAGTGGTTGCAGGTCAGGGGTGCTGTTACATCCTACACTGCCCAGGACAGCCCTCCCCCCGCCCCCCCCCCAAAATAAAAACAACCCAGACAAACAAACACAGGGAATTATCTAGTCCCAGTGGCAGTAGTGCTGAGATTAAGACCCTGGTCTAGGGCATAAAGCAAGAGTGAAGGCCCTGGGACACTTGAGCATGGAGACATCAAGAAAAGGGTACATCAGCAGAGGAGGTTGGGAAGGAGCGGTAGATGGGAGAAAGCCACATTGTGTGTGTGTCTGTGTCTGTGGAGGCCTCTAGGACAGGGTTTGGGAAGGATGCTCCACCGTGAATACAAAGCCTTTGGTGGTCAGTGCCTTCTGGGTTCGCCTTGTCCTGCAGTGCCCTGTTCAGGTGGAGAATCTGGGGCCTGGAGAGGTTTCTGGTGCTCAGAATTGCAGGGCCCGAAGGGGGTGGGCAGGCCTGTGCCTCCATGGGGGCCAGTGCCTTGTTTACCCCGGGGTCCCCTGTCAGTGTAGCCAGGTGTGATTGAACCGTCGGGTCGTGGGTTTAGGGGCTCCAGTTCAGATTCACGGGTAGGAATTGCTCATTTGAACCAGAGAGCGACCCATTTGCTGTCCTGGGGAATAGTCATCCTTCTCAGCAGTGTGGTTTGCTTTCCCATACTGTCCTCCACCTCCACACCCCGAAAAGAAATGCTGTGTGGAGGCGTTCTCACGGTCGCATTTCCTCTTTGCCAGTCATGCATGGCAAGAATAGCTCCTTCCCTAACCAGGCATTCCTCGGGCATCCTCGTGACCCTGTGGGTCTTTCAGTTCCGCCTGGCCCCCGGTGGGAGTGCGCGGTTTCTTCCTGTCCTGTGTTCGGGTTGCGGGCACAGCAGAACCGGGCCTCTCCTGTGCAAGTGCTCCCGCTAGTTCTTCCCGTTCTGGGACACAGGCCTCATTTTGTCAGTGGGAACTAAAGCATTGGGAATGTGGGAGTTTTAGGGTTAGGGTTTCAATTACCTACTGGAAAGAGGATCAGATAGGGACCCGTGAAAAGGGTCATGGATGGGTAGAAAAATGGGAAAGTGGAGGGAAATGCTAAATCTCAAGCATCCCAGTGATGGGGCAGATGCTTTTTGGGGCTTGATTATTTCTATTGTCTGTGTGACTACTTTGAGCAGACAGAGATGAGGCAGTGTTAGGGAAAATGGTGACATTATTATGCCTAACAAAATTTTAATTAAAAAATTACACTGGAAAAGACAAAATTATAGAGATGGCAAACAGATCATTTTATTGCTGGGAGTTGGGGGTAGGATATGGTTCGACTACAGATCACAGAGGGATTCTGTGGCAGAGGGAATTGTCCTGCACTCTGTGGTGATGGTTACACCAGTCTCTGCAGGTATTAGAACTCAGAACTATATTCCCCAAGATGTGAATTTTACTCTCTGTAAATGAAAACTGCTCAGAAATTACAAGAACCTTCAAAAGAAGGTAAAGCACCTCATTTTACAAAATAAGGTTGCTCAAGTCAATAAGCTACCATAATATTCTAACAAGGAACTACCAAAAGCCAAGGGGCTGTGATCAGGTCCCTGGTAATAGAAGTTCAGTTTAGCCAAATACAATTATCTTTCTGGAACTTTCAGCTGCATTCAACTCTCCTCTCTGCCACAGGGGGAAGAGAAGGGCTGCTCTCTCATTTAGCTCACAGTAGCTTAAAAAGTTTATTGGGTTTTTATAAGTAATGAATGCACATGGCATCCAGTGGGTGGAGGCCGGGGTTGTTGCTAAATATTTTACAGTGCACAGGACAGCCCGCCCTTCCACTGTCACCTTCGCCAACAAAGACCTATCCAGTCCTGAATGTAATCCTGGGCAGGTAACTTTACTTTCTCTGGGCCTTCTGTGAAAGGGGGCTATTACCTACCTTGAAGGTTCACACATGGTTCAAGGTTAAGTTTGGCCTTTAGACTGAGGCCTGTTTTGCTGTATAGTTTGGGCTCTTAACCAGGATACAGGAACTGAAATGCTTTAAGACAGGGCCCTGTTTTGACTTTCATGTGCCCTTGGACAAGTTGGCCAGCTGTGAGGGTCAGGGGTAAGGTGATGACTCGGAATGGGCAATCACACAGAGGACAGAGTGCTTTTTTTAATGGCAACCGCTCCCACCACTTGAACTAGTGTCAGCAGCTCCCACTACTTTGAACCTGAGTTGTCAATCAGATTCTGAATTTTCAAGAAACACAGAAATCCAGTTTTTATGTGAATTCCAGTTTTTAAAATCTGGCATCTACTTCATCAAAAAACAAAAACTCTATTTAGACCAAATAAATACAACTAAAAATACAAAAACCAGCCTATGTGTCATCCATTGGTTACTTTAAGTATTCTTATGCTTTAATTTTGGTGCATGAACAAGAGGAGGTTTCTGCACAGCCAGCCCTCACCCTGCTGTGGACACATGGCCTCTTCTCTCAGCTCCAGACAAGGAGCCGAACCCTGGAGGATTGTCACGGCCCCTTCTGTGACTCTATGGTGATTATAAATAAGTCATAAATAAGAATGAGTTGGTGAGACTAGGAGAGAGGAAGAGGCCCCGATTCTTCTAGATTCCAGTTTTCGTTCTCTGCAAATTCTCATCTCTTATCTCGCAGAGGGTGTCTGCTTGGGGCTGAACACATGCGGCTGTTCAGCGCGCCTGGTAGTGACAAAAATGTGCCTTGCTCTCCCTGAGGTGCCGACAGCAGGGGGAAGTTGTCAGAATGGAGCATTTCTGCTTGTTTCTTTCTCCGCAGTGGCTGCTGGGAGGCGGCCTTTCTTTGTCCGCACAAAGCAGGCCGGCGGAAGCCAGGCATTCTTTGAGAGCCTGGATGCAGAGCAGGGGCCCGGGTTTCCCAGGGGTTGTGTCTTGATTTTTGTTTTTTACAGTGAGTGAAGCGAGGAAGATCTCTGCTAGTGGCCTTGACGGCTAGGAGAGCACCTGCCTGGTCTCTTGTCTGAATATTGCTCCCTTGAAGGAGCTGCCATTTTGCAGCCCCTGGAAGTCTAGCTGACAGCCTTTGAACAAAGGGTTTTTTTGTTTGTTAACTGAAAAAGAAGTGCTGGCATTGAGAAACCCCAAGAACACAGATGTATTCATATCTGTATTCCATTTCCTTCTTTCTCCCCCACCCCAATTTTGTTGCCTTTTTCATTAAAAGGTTGGCTGTCTTTGTAGCACAGAGATCTGCTACTGTTTAATTTTAGCAGCTGCGTTTTAATCCATTTCAAGGTGAA